CCCCGCCCCTCGTCAAATTCATTACATTATTTCCTTTATGCGTCACATCTACATCTCCTCGATGTCTGCTGCTATTACATATTTGTACATATATTTCGAATCGCTTTTACACTCTCTGAGATTTCGTTAACAGTTGTTTTACCGAAACATTTCATGCGAAAGTGTATTTATAAATGTATAATGTGACTATATCGATCGCCTTTGTCTCTATTTTCTATTATACGTTTCTTCGATTTACTGTTAACGAAATTCTCATGCAAGTTTCGCGTAGGCGTACATATACATATGCATATGTACATACAATTTAAGGATAAACGCTACAAAATCATGAGTGAGATAAAAACAGTGAATATGCAACGAAAAACTTAGACTCGATCGGTTAATTAGATAAAGGAACTAGACTAATTCATAGTAGGTGGACAAACTGCGAGAAAAATTAATTAATTTGATAAAAATAGATTGATAATAAGATATTTTTGAAGTTCATTTATTTTATACTTTATAGTATAACAATATTAATTACTAGTTAAAAGAATGAATATCCGTATATATCTATAATTGGACAAATTCTAATATCGTGGTCCATTTTTTGTGCTCGGAAATTCTATAACAATCATTAAAGTACATAAATATTTGCTTTGTGAGAACATATTGAATCTATATTTTATTCGCCAAAAAGTTCATATAATAATTCTATTGAGTATACATATATTATTAAAATGGATTACTATGAATCAAATGCCAAACAAAAATATAGGAATATTGAAAATTAATTTTTATTATTTATCCTTCCTTTAACTGCTTAGATTTACACTCACTTTACTTATAAACTGTCGTATAACTTTAGAATTAAAAGTATGGGCAGGACAACGAGTAGGACACTTTAATCGTGTGACACTTTAATACGAAGTTTATGCTTCAATGATTACGATGGTGGTGGTCCAGATTGCCGGAAACTCGTAGTTTCCAAGATTTTCAAGAGTGTTTTCGAGAATATTGCATTAGGTATGGGTTATTCCTTGGGGCCGCCGTGACCGTGAGGCGGTCAGTTACGTAGACACAAGTCGATCGCCGAGCGTCAAGCGAAGCAGTTATCGCGTCGACTACGTTGTGTACTACTATTTTAACATTAATATACATATTCGTTAATACGTATCTCGAAAGCTGCTGCGGTTTTTTTAGCAACTCGAACTATCACCGTTATAATCCTTCAAGCACAAGCTTCTATTCATTGACCCAATAACTAAAGGGAAGCTAAAGTATTATGTTACTTCAGATCTCTAATTTATTTAGAATTATTGAATTCCTTTTACATATTTTCATTCTATGGTCCTAATCTTGTACTACATGAAATCCTATAATGGTATGATCATATAAATTACTCGATGATTACGCAATAAACAAGCAAATGAAAAATTTAATTACCGATATATACGAAGACACGAGAATTTATGTATGCGATTAGTGCTTCAATGATTGTTATCACGCCAAATCTATCTTATTATCAATAATATTAGTTATATGTAGAACTAATAGATTAATGTTTACGGCCGTATTCTTTTGACTTTGACTATGGACTAGCATAGGCAGAAACGTAGAACCGTGCTTTTCCATCTTTCGCTAAACTATCTTTTGCCATTATCTTGCAAAAAAAGAAAACAAAAGAAGAAAAGAAAAGAGAAGAAAGAAAAAAGAATGGAAAAGAAATAAAAGAAAAGAAAAAAAAAAAGAAAACAGTCTATAAATGGAAATGGACTCTAAAGCAATCGCTGTTGAATTTACTCTTGCGTCGCGAAACGATCGCAACGCTTTTTAATTACCGTATATACCTTGTACCGATGGTATTTCTGTGGCGAGGGATATTTACGGTTTCGACACGACACCTTGTACATACATATGTAGGTACTACGCAAGAAATTTGACGATCGAACGATTGACATCGATCTTTTACTATATATTTTCACAAAGAAAAAATCAGTTTCAGAGGACAGGAACGAGAAGTAGTAGTTCTCCTTGCGACATAAAACGCATACGTATATTATATATTATATATGTAAAAGAATAGAATTTATCTGCACGTTTGAAATCGACGATGCAGAATCAATCGCGTGAAATAACTCTCGCCGAATTTCAATTACCTATGTTTCGAGTGTGTTATTCTAATGAGTAACAACAAGTAATATCATCCCTAGCGAATATCCCTAAGCATCAAATAAGTAGTAATTACTATTAATACGTTACTAATCTCTTATCGATAAACAACAAAAGATTATAGTATGTATAATTGAACATCTAAATAGATACGTGTAAGAAAGTGCAGATAGTTTACCGTGATTATCGACGATGCTTTGGTTAACCCAAATAACGTTCCGAGAAACGTACGTTCGCCAAAGTGCCAACTATCGCTATATAACACGAAAAAGGACATATCACCACAAGATACATACACGTTTGTATATGCTGCTATTTAGAGATGGCAGTAATCCTAATATTTTATTACGTCTATCGAAAAAGCGGCAAACTGGTTAGATATTATTCTCGGCTTCGATTCGATTGCTTTTAAATAATAATTCATCTCTCGATGAAAATGATGAACAATCAAACAAAATTATTCCTCTTGATGAGAAATTAATGAACTTTAATATAGAAGAATCAATTTCAGATTAAAATTTCAGATCATACTTTTAATATAAATATTAGATTATATTTATCGTAATCGACAAATTTTATATTTTATTGCGGCTTCACACAAGCATAATAAGTTGCGTAAATAAATAAAGTAAATTTTTTATTTGAAAATCTTGGGCGAAAGTTGAACGTCAAAATGTATAATTCTTGTGAAAGCAACGACTCGTTAATCACAAAAATTATCGCAACTCTTAGACAGCCTACGTATTATTCATAAGTCGAGTGGTTCTAAATACTATTCGTATATGGAAATGAATCGTTGCTCTTCGTTTTTATAAATAATTTAGTAGTCACAAAGTACCATCGAAGGCACCGTTGATCGTATTGGATTCGTCCCTTAAATAAGATTTTCGATCAAAACAATTTAAGAAACAATTACAACGATAATTCCATAGAAAGGTTTTCATGTAATTATCAATCCACCTTGACGATTTCGATGATTTCTGATTGGTGTTGTAGAAATCAACATTTCGAATAACTTTTCTCTATGCATGTAACTGCCGCTAGACTATAGTTTACGAGATATTCGAAAGAAGAAGAAGATGAAGGAAAAAAAGAAAAAAGAATAGAAAAACCGTCAGTACCACACTGCAGTGAATTCTGTCTATGTGTAGCGCGTACGTGACAGCACGCATACGTTAGTCTGGTTGCAAGCCGCGTCTTATGATGCGATGTAGCGGCCGGATAAAATAGAAAGCCTATGTAAACCTGTATAAACTACAAACAGAAGCTAAGAACGAAATACATATCATATATGTATAGGAAAGAGTTGTTCAGAATCATGCCCTCGACAACATATTTAAAAATTATTGAAATCGGTGAAGCGGATGATCGATTTTGGACAATTGCCATTGCTTTCATAAAATTTGTTATTAATCGTAATCAAGATTAGATATTTATAGACAAATATTTCTAAATATTTCTAACTTTTCGTTTCTTCCTGGAATTACAATTCATTGCCACTTTTTTGACCTAGGTACGCTGTTATTATTAGAAAATACAACAG